TATATATATATTTCCTAATATCTAAATGTTGTCATGTAATGGACTGGTGACCTGGTCAGGGTACTGTCCACCTTTTATCCAATGACAGGCATCATCCCCACAGGTAAAAATAAGTCAATTGAAATTACTATTTGTTTATCATTGAAGGCTGGATTGTAGTTATTCTTCCACCAAATTTTCATTGCCAGTTCTTTATTTTAATCAAACTGTTATGTTTTTAACCCAGTTCTTGTAGTGTATAATGCATTAAAACAAGCCTCTTTTTCCACGTTTTTGTCTTTATTTTTGTCCATTATTAACACAAGTAGCCTAAAGCAGTTATAAATGAGAAAACTTAAAATAAATACAAAAGTAAATTATTCTTTTACTCCTATATTTTCTGCATGTCCCCACTGTTGCTTTTAGATTCTTAGTCTCTGTTTTTTATGCAACTTTGCTTTTTTTTTCTTAAAGTTTGGAGTTATTTTTCATTATTATATTTTTGAAAATCCCATCAATAGGAAAACTATGCAAGGGACATTATTAAATGTTGTAGTTTAAGGTGAAAATTATGAATGAAAATATTTTTCATTTATCCTTACTTAATCTTATGGCTCCATAGATTTCATTCTAGGAGAAGGCATCATCAGATTAAATGTCTTCTTTCTGGCAGGAATCAACAAGGGATTATTGGTTATCCACATATTTGTACTGCAGTCACTTGTTAACACACATCCATGTGAAAACCTCCCATGGTAGTAGGTCACAACATTTAGTTATATAAGCACTCTTAACGCTCCGCTCACAAAACCACCGCGTCATCAGATATGGAAATAACAGATATGAGGGTCAAACTCAAATATCCCGAGGCTAAATAATGAGGAAGAAGCAGGATAATCTGTCAGGGTGGTCAGTGTTTGGACCACTCTCATCTTATCCTTCGGCTGCTCAGCTGTCATCCATATTTGCAGCCTCAGTAGACAATTTCCTCGTCCGTGGGCCCTTTTCAGTGCTCACAACACATCAAGTGAATTAATTCTGCTACTGTGGCAGCACAGAGCAGATCTAGGTCATGCAGTCATTGCTGTTTTTTTTTTTTTGTGTATGTGTTTTTAATTTTTCTTTCAGGCCACCTAAAGACACATCTCTCACTAACACCCTCTCCCCCTAAACCTGACCTTGACATCAGCAGGTGATTTTCCACAGAGGTATGAGAGTACATTTGTAAAAAAAAAACTACTTTGGGTTGTTTTTTAAAAAAAGGCTGTTTGCACATGTTGTGCAGCCTTTTGAGGGCAGCTTTGTTGTGGCCAGTGCAGGTATGATGAGTTTTTTTTTGATGATTTTTATAGGCTGCTTGAGGCTCGCCTGCAGCTACGAGAAGAGGAGAGCACAGAGAGCAGCGCACAGACAGGAGGAGTGGATGCGGGAGGGTGAGCGGGATAACAGAGAAGGAGGCGACGAGGAAGGGGAGAGAAGTCTAGAGGTGGCGGGGACTGTGTGTGACGCACGCTCGTCGGGGGCCTTGCTGCTCTGCTGATTGGCTGCGGCCGCTGCTAGTCAGAGAGGAGCTGGGATTCGGGCGCTGCTTGGAGAGCAGATTATGAAGCGGCGCTCGACCAGCGGCAGTCTCCTCTCGTCGTCTCAATGGCTGCACACGCATTCCTCATCTGCTCGCTCGCCTTACTGTCCGCTCTCAGCCGGCCCGGGCGCTCCTTCTCTGACGACGACTATCAGCCGGGACTCATCTATGACGAAGTGCCTGTGATCCTGGACAGAAGGTAAGTCCATCCTCTGCACGGCTGTGGACAGTGGAGGGGTGCAGGGAGGAGAGAGATTGGGGGAAGGAGGAGGAGGAGTGAGGGGGAGGGGTGCAGGGAGATGCACACAGGGATGCTGGGATGCTGATGTGGTTTGTATTCTTCAAAGGTGGGGTGGYGGGGGCTATCTCTCCCTCCTCTGCCACCGTTTTCTCCCCCATACAGCTCACCTTGGAGGTGGGGGGGGGGGGTGGGCTGTATCTCGGATTGTGAATTCAAGCAGCGCTGCTGTGTCAGAGAGGGCCAGGCTTCAAGGCTTTGTTTGTCTCAGTACAGGGGACCGCATCAGACGCTGCTCATCGATCACAGATGGGGCCGTTGTCTCTACAGTAGTGCTGGTCAGGCAAGAAGGTGCTAAATAAGGCTGGAGCAGCGAGCTTCTGCAGGAGAGACATACAAGAGGAGAGTAGGCAGGGATGAAAAGGGGAAAGCAGCAGTGAGGGGAAGATAAATAAAGTGTGGAAGATTGTTGAGGTAGTGGTGGGGGTGGGGGTGGGGGGGGTCATGCATCAACCGGGGTCTGTTTACTGAAGCAGCCATTAAGGAAGGAATTCTAGCCGGCCATGTCAATGGAACACATGCACGCAGACTGGCAGGTCAAATGTGAATAAACAATTGTCAAAGCTCACAGCTGTGTCACAGGAACAGGGCTGAGCAGACAGCTAAGGCCTTTAACAGCGGGCTCCTGCAGAGACATCAGCAAAGTACTGATACCAAACTGTGCCAAAGACATGTAAGGCTCTTGAAACTATGCCATGCAAGATGGCTCACACAATCCTCCATGCACGCACCCCTCATCACTGCGCTCTGCAGTGTTTGCTGGACACTCGTGTTTTCCTGGAATTTATAGTTCGYATTTCTAACAAAAGTCCAACATTTGCGTTTTCAGGTCACCGGTAGTTTGGAAATAAACATTAAGTACACAAAACTCCCACTATTCCCGCTTAATTTCAGGCTTTTGAACTTTCACAGATTCCCCTTCGAACTTTGGACCACAGTCCCCTCGACAAAAGGAAAGCTAAATTCATTTCTTCATGTACGTTTTAGCCTTCTTCCCAGATCAAACATCGAGTCGAACAGCTCCAGTCACAGGTCAACACTCCGATCTCAGCTCTGACTCACACAAAGATGTCGTTATATAACAACAACCTTTTATGCCTTCATTCGTTCGTAACATCAGACGCCTCAAAGGGAGCCGAGTATTTGTAGGAAATCTAGAAGCTGCAGCGAGTTTGAGGCTTCCATGGTTGAAAGGGCTTACAGAGCAGCAGGAAACTCTCTGGAAGAAAACAGCCAGCAGACACATTTTCTGTAGTAGTACTGAGTTGTTCAGTGACATCATTGTAAAGACAGTATTTACTCTGCTGGGTGGTGCGTTTTAGAAATATCTGCAGTCTGTTTTCTAGTTGAGACCTTTGAGAGTCTTAGGAAATCTCGACTATTTATAACTTTCATTGGCTTGTATTGAATAAGAGGTTAAACCTTCAGCTTTTATAAAAATGATCAGTGTYACTCTTATGTTTATAAATCAAACTACAGTTTATGTGGTTTAAAATGATTGAAGTTAAAGCAAATTTTAGCAGTCTAATCAGGACGGATCAAAATAAATAGGAAAGACAAAGGACATTTTATGTAGTGAATCTAAAACAACAGGTACAGCATTTATAAAGCATTTTAAGATAATGTGTTTCCACAGAAGATGAATGAGGTTTCGAAAATGGGCACAGATTAGAGGCCAAGAGACTAAGCTGTAATTTTGGAAATGACTTCTTCACGCATCCAGACAGATCCCATCAACGGCGGCGTTTCACTTCAAGGGAGCAAGTCGAACATTTTAATTACACCTAATTCCATTTAATTATCAGTGAATATCAGAGTACAGTTAAGCTGTCCCAGTAAACCTAAAAAAACCTAGAAAAAAACAATTAAAGTCACTTAGGTCTGAACCAATTCTTTTGAGTGTTGCCACAAACTCAGAATGCATTCGAACTGAGAATATATAAGTAAAAAAGCAGCTGTAGATGTCATTTCTGCTTCAAACTCTAACAATCAAATGATCACATGTGGAGTAAAAAGTGCTTAAGTCCACTTTCTCTTGCGTGTGTCTTTGTTTAGGATCAGCAGATRAATGACAGTTGATTTGATAACAGTCTCATTTGATGTGTTATGAAGGCAATAAGCCCTTAAATGAATTTTCAAACAGTTAAAATGTTAAACATAGGCCAGGATTACAGGTCAATGTAATGCACTGAGAGAGGGAGATTGTTATTCAGCTCTAGTTTTAGCACTCTCTTTATATTCTAATGAATTGAAAAGTGCTTGCTTTAATAGTGAAATGTGAATTATTCAAAAAACAAAACAAAACAAAACATAAAACTGTAATACTTAATGTTGTGATAATCAGCTCAAAAATGACAATCAGGCCTTTATAGGCAAAACAATACAAATYAGGGTTTCAGATTTTTTTCTTTTTTTTTCTTCATTCAGAAAATTCATCAGTGATCGTTATTTTAAGACAGACCAAAGCATTATCAGACTAACAGTTTATTCACCTCAAATAATCTTTATATTCAAGTGACTGGGTTTACGATAGATCAAACAATGAAAAGATCATTATATGCAGCTCTGTTTGCACTGTTCGAGTGTGGCCATAATGCAAAGCTCCCAGCTCAGGTGCCCTAACCCTAACCCTACTCTTAATCTCTACTGTGTAGGAAGATTTAAAAGTCGAGCTCTTGACCTGATGTCTAATTTGACGCCACAATCAAGGCTGCGCTGAAATAGGCAGCGAGGCTCCAACTGGATTCTCAGTATACACTTAAACCCTAATCTTTACAAGAATCTCTCAATACCTGTGCTGTGTGGTGTTCTGTCTTTCTAGTCATATCAGAAGCACAGATACTTATTTAGCGATTAACTAAATTAAGTTATGTATGTTGATCAACATAGCTAAGCTATTATTGTACAATATTATCCAAGATGGGTTTGGAATTTCATGTGGGCATAACACAAGGAAATACGAGTACAACAACATCAGWGTAATTTACAACTTATACTGAGACAATCCAAAATCTAAGGGTWGTCTATTATAAAACAACAATGATCRTGTCTTCCACAGCAGGTTAAATTGATCCTGAACACCCCCCTGCTGTAAGATGTAGGAGTTGTGATGGACTCTAGCTGTCCCAATGCAGTGGCTCAGCTCTCTTTGTTACAGAGGCAGAGAGGACTTGTTTACAAGTTCTGGGAGCAGGCACCACACCTTTTCTCTGCTCGGCTGTGCATAGCCGATGCTCAGCCGAGGGATCAGCTTTCCATCTGCTTGAAGAAGGATGTCCAGCGAAAACGTATTGATTGCGAAACCAATAGAAGTGAGGCTGTTAATATTTAAAAATAAGCATTTATGGATAACTGAAATATTAACATCATTGCCTCGATACTATCATCTGTCTCATCTGAATGTCTGAAGTTTCTTTTAATTCTGCCCCCCCTGCCATAGGTGTATTTGTTGTTTGATAGGTTGTGCGCACACATAATAATGGATATATGTGGTAGCAGGGAGGTGAGCCAAGGAGTGGCTCTGGCTTTGATTATGTAAAGGGCCTGCTCAGCACCCAAGCTCTGTGTGACAGGCTGAACCAATGATGAGGCTGCAACAGCGTTGGCTTGCTGACCTCGCAAAACTGGCACAGGAACAAACGGCTGGGCTTTGGTTATCACTCATATACTCAAACTCTCCTGAGGTCGCCAGCAGCCAGCTGGGGCCCCTGCAGGTGCACGAGAAGAGGCGCTTATTCACTCGTGATCGTTTTGATTTGTGACTCTGTCATTCAGGGTTGTTACCAAATGCTCAAGCCCTATACAGAGTCTAGAAAGCAGGTTTTTCCCAACTTATGTGCAACTCTAATGACTTGCATGCCAATGCTGGAGGGGGCGGGTGTGCGTAGTGTCCAGGTGTCCACCTTGCAGCTGAGGTTTCAGTCACAACCACTAGCTGCCAAAGCTTTACTGAACTTGGCAGCTCTTTTAAATGTTTATGCTTACCCAGCATCTCCCTTCAAAAATACAAATATTTTCAACTACCATATAAATAGACTCTTATTTTGTTACTCACTGAACAGGGTTTTACACAGACAGTACAACATTACGTAGAGAATATACAGTATACATACACATGTGGATTAGCTTGTGTTCCCAGGAACATGGACACTAACAGACAGGGAGTCTTGGGTTTAGCCAATCATGACGCTGACGTTGAACTTGGCAAATCCACACTGGAATGTAGGCTGGTCAGGCTATTTGCAGGAAACGAGACGATGGCACCTTCAAGCTGATCACTTCCTCGTTCACAGTAGTCAGACGTCATTATGCAGCCATTGTTACGTGCGTAAATGGGCTTAAGGTTAATTTTAATTACTTAGATTCCCTATAAAGGGGCCATCTGATTGCTTCATAGACATGTTGTGTGGGATCTGGAACAGTGTGATGAAAGAACAATCCATGAGATTGTCTTATTGCAAGTTTAATCAACTGAATTAAGGCATCTGGTTTTTGATGCACATTTTATACAGTATAAAAAGCCATAAATCAGTGAAAAAGGAAATAGCATTAGCTTAAACATAATCAAAATTTTGAGCATGTAAATGGCCTTAAGTGTATAAAAATTGTGATGCTGTCATTCTGTTTCAGAGGTCAGTAGAGATTCAGTACTCAGCACTCAAACAGTCCAGACTGCTGCTGGTTCTGACATCATGCTTTAATCTGTTACCTTGTCCCACGGCCAACGTCTCTCCATATTTGGACTAAAATGGACCTGGCCTGTTCTTACCACTAATCCTAATCCATCTGGCACTAAACAGCATAATATTGCCCAGATGGAAACTGCAGCATACGGGTGGATAACTGCTCCAGGCTGCAAGCACTGTTATGCTCTGGCAGCCTACCCTAAATTTGCAACTTCCAGGGGTTATAGACAGAAAATAAGCTAATTTCAAAGAAAATTAAATGTTGTAAACGTCCAGCAGTTGAGTATTATATTTTTTAATATTAGGAAATAAAATGAATGGAGCAAAGTTAGTTTTGTTAACTACAGCCATCATTCCAAAGTCTTGATTCAACAATACTGAGAAACATTTCTTCATCAACCATTGTAAGAACCATTAACTTTTATGTCGCCAGTTATTGAGTTTGTTTTCTAAACAGGCCTTTCCAATAAGAAAGGAACAACTTTTTACTCTTATTTTGTTTGCTGGAATTCATAAAATTGCCAGAACCATAAAACCAATGGAGCTGATTCTTGGTGTCGCAAAAGACAATTGTCATACTTCCTCCCATAGGTCTTAAGGTTTACCGTTCACAAGCTCATTATAACTGGCTATTGTTTGGGATTAGGAGGCCAGCTCAGATGATCACAAAGGTCAGATCAGGACAGACCATTTGATCAGAATGTAGAACGGACCATCACAATAAGCACTGATATGCTCAGTGCTGCCCAGTGGCACAATATGTTTGTGATTAGACAATTAAAGAGGGATTAGGATTAGTTCTAAGAAGTCCATGCTACCTGGGGTTTAGTCTTAGACATTGTGCAGGGCAGTTGAGCCAAACATGTGAACAACAAGGTAACAGTCTGTTCTCTGTCACATGTGCATGATTTTGGTTAAATCACACATCAAAGAGCAGCCATTAACAAATTCATGGAGTGAACGAAATTTGAAGTAAACATGCACAAACAGCTGGACATAATTTTTAATTTTGATAAAAAAGTTATAGATTTTGACTAGAGTTGCATTTAAATTGTTTGTACCAGCTTCTCCTTGACCCACATAGGAAAAAGTAAAGATCTGGATGGACGTTTACTCCTGACTGATGGATGTTTATACACTAGCATGCAAAGGAATTGGGTCAAAGTTTTTGACTTCTGCTCAGACCTGAGTCTGGTCTTGGAAGAAATGTATCTTTATATATATATATATATATATTCCAAATTCCCTTCTCACCCTCCGCGGGTGGTCTCTTTCATCCTCTGAGCTCGGGTCCTCTACCAGAGGCCTGGGAGCTTGAGGGTTCTGCGCAGTATCTTAGCTGTGCCTAGAACTGCACATTTCTGGACTGAGATGTCTGATGTTGTTCCTGGGATCTGTTTTATCCACTGCTCCAGTTTGGGGGTAAATACCCTGAGGGCCCTGATGACCACAGGCACCACTGTGGTCTTCACCTTCCAGGTCTTTTCCAGTTCCTCTCTGAGGCCCTGGTATTTCTTCAGTTTCTCATGCGACATCCACCACAATGGCTTTCCTCTGTTCTTTATCCACCACCACTATGTCCGGTTGGTTCGCCATTACCATCTTGTCTGTCT